CCTCTACTGATCTGCCCCCTAGTGGTCATTGCACGTCACAGCTACCGGGCGAATGGTCAGGCGGTCACTTAGACTTTTATATATATAGATGCTCCTTCAAGTTCAAACGGACTAACCTTCCACGCTACCGATTAAAACCAATTCACCTTTAACTTTCGACTCCACAACAAAGCCTGCCCACACCACTCCAATCGAAGCTGAGGCCCCGCCCCTGCCCCAGGGGATCTAATCAATCCTCTTTCTGTTGCTATGGAGTGTCCCTCATGACTCCTTAGGTTTAAAAATGGCCGAGTAAAAGCCCTCTGACCACTTTCCCCCTTAAAAAGTTATCCCCAGACTACACGGAGTACAAACTAGAAGCAGAATGAACAAGGAGATCATTAGGACAAAAAGCAGACGGAGAGAGGCGAGTCGCAAGAGGAAGAGCCTTGCTGGGGAGGGGCTGGGCCTGGTGTCGGGAGAAGCACTCGGATCTCTCCCTGGACACAGAACACCCAAGACTGGAGGCTCTGGGTGGGCCCACAGGCGCAGGGATAGGCCTCAAATCAAACAGGACGACTTTCAAATCTGGTCATAACCGCAGCCACTTGGCATCACCATCAAAAGGCTATTTTCTGGAGAAACTGCTCCAGAAATATACAGATAGGAACACTGGGGCTGCCAAGGAAAAGATGACTCACGAGCAAGAAGCCAGCCTGTGAACAAAGCGCACCCTCACACTGTTGGTGTCCACTTGGTTACCCCACCTTGAACGCTTAACACCTTGCGGACCCGTGGTTTTATTGCTAGCTTTACCCAGGGCGAGATTAAGTTTCCACTGAACGAGTACAAAAAAACGTTTTACATTAAAATTAAATACCCATTGCATTTTGAAGTTATTTATTACATGGTCTTACAAGCTCCTATCTTTTTAAAGAATTCTCGTGTATGGAAGGCAACCAATTGATGTTTCTCTCTCATATCAACATTTCTCTCTCTCTCTAAAATCAATAAAAACATATCCTTGGTGAGGATTAAAAAAGAAAGAAAAGAAAAGAGAAAGGAAGGAAGAAAGAAAACAGCAGGAGTGAAACCAGCACCAGTTTTATTGTTCTCTGGAGCACTGAGAGGCTATCCTTTCATCTACTTATGACTGGTCCCAAGAATGTCTTAGCTTGTTGGGAAATTTTCCTGGACACTGATTATTCTCAGCTACTTCTCCTGGGTTCAAGTCATTCGTTAATCAGATGACCTTACAGTAAAAGAATCCTATGGGGTCTGACACGTGCCTTAGCTGGGGGCCTGGGAGGCAGAGCCTGGCCTGAACAGTTTGTTGGGAACGTGATTCCAGGAGGAGGCGTGGAGGATGGAAGGGCTGAAATGGGCCGGCAGGTGGACCAAGATGTGGGTGGGTGACCAGCCTGGCTACAGGTGTGGGCAGACTGACACTCATTACATTCGGATCTTCTCAGGGCGTCCATTCTGAGGGTGCAAGGGAGCGCTTATCCACTGGCTTCTGTCCTCTGTTGGTTAACGAAGCCGGAGGCGGCCGCGCTGGGCTGAGGCTGGTGGTGGATGGAGGAACAGGTGATGTGAAATGGCCCACAAGGGGCCCTGATACAACCAGAAACCTCAATCCAGGCGCATGGAGATTTAATCAACATCCTCTTCAGGTCCACATGAGCTGTTAATTCACTCACTGAGCTGCAAACTCCGCCTCTTATCCATCGGGACATCACGCAGGCCCTGCAGCTGCCAGCGGAACCCAGACACGCCTGGCAGGGCCCACAAGGTTCACCTTCCGTGACCTTTGTTTCCTGTCAATGCAGGACAGCTTCCTAGAGATGATTGCTTCTTCTATTTTTTTGTTAATTATCCATTCAAACGTCTTACCTGGGACTGACCATTCTCCACAATTCCTCTAGCGTTGTAAGAGCTTGGCAGTCCACCCTCATTATATTAGGACCTGACTCATCTGGGCCTGATTTAATGCAGACGGGGGCCCTCCTGTGATCTCCACAGCGACCGCAGGCTTTCATTTCCTCTAATCACCATTTATTATACTTTTTCCACTCTGAAGATCATTTTCCTTGAAAATTAGGAAGTACACCAGGAGCTGAAGAGGGTCACCTCCTCCTTGTTGCCACCTGCGGCCAGAATTCTGAGCAGGCCAGCCCTGCCCTTTCCTCCCAGCTTTTAACATATGCAAGCCCCTCCCCGCCATGGATGATATCCAATCCCAACTGAGATCAGCCGGCAGCCCCGCCTGGTCATCCCTTCTTTGACTCACTTCGGACTCTATGTTCTTCGTCCTATATTTTTTACATTTTGTTCTAAAAACGTGGGCTTGGCAAAAAGTCAATGATTTGGATACTTGCTTGTTTCCCCTTTCATTGGCATAATTAACAATCATGTTAACCGGAATAATTTGAATAAGAAAATAAAGTAGTAATGGATTGTAACCTAATGGAAGATACATATATGTTTACATGCATGTATATATCTTCATGCACCTATACTGCTATAAAGGACTGAATAAATAAAGTGGGGGTGGAGGGGCAAATGCCTTGCAGAAAAATAGCACCTCACTCAGGCAGACATTCTGTCCTCAAGGAGGGGAACTCCCCACCCTGAACACCCCCATTAAACTGCTCTGTGACTGCGTCCTCCTGAGGAAACTGTCCACTTGATCACCGGAGGGCCAACTGCAGCAGCATCTGGGCGTGGTATCTCGGGGACTGGCCACTGTTGCTGAGACACACTGTCCAGGCCCCAAGCAGTCTGCATGACCCTGCTCACTGGATCTGATGTGCAGGAAGCAACAACGCCTCAGATGCCTCACGAGACACCTGCCACCCAGAGGGGGAGGCGCTGGCCGGAGCGTTAGACGCCCTCTGGAAAGTCCGAGTGGCCGCTCTGCACATGGCCTGCGGGGCACCCATCTGGGCTTCTGGAAGCGACACGCACTGACCTGAGCGGCTGCTCCGACACATTTGCTGACGAGCCCGCTGTTCTCAGAGGGACCAGAGCAGGAATGCCCTCTGCAGCAAGTGCAGGCTCCTGGTCCACGTGGCCCACAACCAGCGGAGTCACAGCCAGGGATACGCGCAAAGGAAGCCCTGTCAGGCACCAACAGGGGATCCACAGAGCAGATGCTAGGGATTTGGGGGAAAAATGGCGGAAACCCTGTCTTTTTCTGCAGATTATTTTTTTTCCTTCTGAGAAATGGTTCCTGGCTTCCTCCTGGGCCCTGGTAGAGACTGAACAACAAATGAGGAAAGGCCAAGTGACCATGCAGCCTGAGTGTCCCCATAAACGGGGTGTTATCTGACCTGTCCGGCCACAGCTGGCCATGGTCAGGTGCCCAAAGAGTGAGGGGCACAGGCCCGGAGAGTAAGGAGCTGCCCAGCCACGCCTCCTGCTCCTGCGCTGGTGCCAGCTGCGTCACCTCCTGTCCCCGTCCACAGCCAGAGCCTGGGTGGGAGGGGCTCCTGGGAACCGCTGGTCTACGGACATTCCTCACGGCAGGCTGGCCCTGCATTGTTCATGTATTACTCACTTTGGCTAAATTCTAAATTCAGGAGAAAGATCGTTTCCTGGTGAGGGGGAAGCTGAGTGAGAGCACTCAGGCCGTGGTGGCTGTCATTCTTCTGGTGGCGGGAAACCAGCGGTCAGGACCCGGGTCCTTGGAGAAGTGAGCCTTTGGGGGTGGCAGCGGGTGAGCCGGGCTGACCCAGCAGTTCTGCTGGGGAATTGGACTTTCTAGTTCTTTGACTCCTAAAATCTGTAGTTACAGTGGTAGAGACCACACCTCTAGAGCTGCTGTCCCTTATGTTCCTACTCTAACAGTGTTTGCAGCTTCCTTCTCCTCTTCGGGGTCTAGAGGGTCCTTAAAGGGTCCCTGGTAAGTGAATTTAGCAAAATTGTAAGATATAAATCAGGTCAATTTACAAAAATCAGTTGTATTTCTAGATGCTCATCAAAACCAGCTGGGAAATAAAACGCAAGGAGAACAAGGCCGTTTTCACATTCCTGAGAAGGAATGCAGGCAGGGTGGCCCCAGGAGCCCAGGTGTCCTCTGAAGAAGACCTGGGGCGGGTGAGCTGCTGGAGCGACACAGACCAGGCTGGCGCGGGCGGGGCGCGGTCCCAGAGCACAGACAGAGCGGGCAGAGCCTGGGCGCACCCCTCCCAGGACAGCGAGGTCACCTGGCCCTCACCCTTGGCCTGCTGCCTCGCGTCAGTGCAGCGCCCTCCTGGGGCCTCTGTCTGAGATCTGACCCGCAGGCTTCCGCCTTCCCAGGCTCCCCAGCCCGTAGGGACTCTCCTGGGAAGGACCCTAATAAAGTGCGATTCCCAGGAATTTCTGGCTCTGCCGCTACTTCTGGGGAGAACACAACCAAAGACAATCCTCCCCGGCAAAGACGCGTGCCATAGGCCGCTAAACGCAGACATGCATGTACGGGGGCATTTGCTATTACACTGAATGTCTTATTTAGCACTTTTCCATAGTCATATTGGTAAAAAATGAGCTGTAAAAAGCACAGTTTTAATACCAAAAAGGGCAGGTTTAAATTTTCTGCTAAAAGAGATCAATAAAGTTCTCTCAGGAGATTACCCACCACAGTATTTTTCCCTTTTTCACCAGTGTTATTTCCAATTAATTTGTGACATATTCTACTAAGTAAAAATAAACACCTGACACGCTGAGGGAGGCGTGCACCCCACACAGACTGCGGTCCAGACCCCATCCTCGCCCGCTCCGTGGGCCAGGATCTTACATTCTAGAATCTGTGGTTTCGGTTGGTGACTTAAGCTCTTCCACTCAGAACTTGCGTTTCCTTCTCCGCACGTTCCCCATGAGGCTGCCGTGACGATGAGGAACCCAGACAGAACCTCGGCACCGCGCCGCGCGTGGCGAGGCCCCAGTGCGTGTCTGCGGGTATTTTCGGACTGAAATGACCTCACAAGGTAGCCATCCCCATAACACGCCAACAACTCCTGCAAGCCGGGCACACTTACTTGTAATGTAGTATCAAAGACAACGAGCTTTGAACTGGTTGGGACGATGTCGTAACACTTGTGTGACCTCATGAATCGCATGTAAACGCCACTTTCCGAGTCTTCTGCTAAGAAGGAACGAAAAAGAAAGGCAAATATCAGTAACAATAAAGAACTCCCTTGAAGGGACGCAGAGTACGTATGGAAAGCCTACTGCTGATGGACTTAATGGGAAATATGGAACGTTTTCCCTGTGTGAGTGAGGAGAAGACCTGGGTGTTCACTCCGCTGACCCAACGCCGGGCTGGAGGGCCTCGCTGGCGCCCGAAGGCCAGAAAAAACACAAAGCGCACAGATTGAAAAGGAAAAAGCAAAACTGTTTTAATTTGCAGTCTATATGACTTTCTACAGAGAAAGTACCAAAGACTACAAAAAAGTTTCCAGATCTTTAATAAACAGAGTTCAGCAAAGTCACAGAAGGCAGAGCTAATAAACAAAGAACACGCTATCGTATTTCTACATACTGGCAGTGAACAACTGAAAATTAATTTCATTTCACACGAAGGTACCACTTATGAAAATACCATATGGGAGTATGGGCCCACACAAAAGCACACTGAAAACGGTAACCACGTGGAAAAATGCACATCTTTCTTATTCTCTGTAAACCCACTGTACGCCCTAAACATCTACAGACGCAAGCGGCGGGCTTCCCCACACACCATGCGCGCCTATAGCCGCAAACCTCGCGTACCAACTCTGGTCGCCCAACTTTAAAATCAGACTTGCTAGTGACATCTCTGGGTTTGTAAAGAAAATTCGCAAATATTCCAGCGCATATGGAAGGAATGGGAATGGTTTCCGTTTTGGACGCATGCCAGTTAACTGGTAAAAGTTAGCTGACAACTGACAAAAGGGACGACAGTGTATTGTGGGGGTTTACGGCATATTTATTAGGTAAGAGAGTGGTCCCGCCCCCGACCAATGATACAGAAATCCAGGCAGCATCCTCGTCATATCGCCTCCTTCGCCTTCACCAATTTATCACCCAAACCTATCTATCCATCTCTCTCTCTCTCTCTCTCTCTGAAATCCTCACCTGAGGATATTTTTCCATTGATTTTTAGAGAGAGTGAAAGAGAGCGGGAAAGACAGAGAGAAACATCGATGTGAGAGAAACACATTGATTGGTTGCCTCCTCCACGGTCCCTGACCAGGGTCCGGGCTGGGGAGGAACCTGCAACCCAACCAAGGTACGTGCCCTTGATAGGAATCAAACCCAGGACCCTTTGGTCCATAGGCTGATGCTCTATCCACTGAGCCAAACCGGTCAGGGCTGTCACCCGGTTCTCCCTTAAACCCACCTGTTTCCCTCTACCTCCATGGCCACTGCCCTCAATCTGACATAAATACCCTGACTTCCTAACTGGTCTCTGCTTTCCATCTTGCTCCTTTTCCAGCTGCCCACGTGGCATCCAGAATGGTTTTGCCAGACGCAAATCTAACTACATCAGCCCTCTGCTGAGAACGCAATGGCTCCCGAGGACTTTAGAGAAAAGAATTCCGACGCAGCCTAGGAAGCTCTGCCCGGACAGGCCCGGCCCCCATCCCCACAGGACTTCCTCCAGCCACCAGGCCTTCCCTCAGTCCCTCCTCAATGTCACGCCCTCTGCTTCTGCAGGGGCTTCGGCGGCTGGGTTCTCGGCCTGGAACGCTTTCCCATCTCTTCTCAGCCCAGGTAACTCCTCCTTCACTACCCTCAGCCCACGGACATGACGGAGAAATTGTGGAGCCAGAATTTGAACCCAGATGCCTCTTGATTCCAAAGCTGTGCTCTTCTCGAGGATGATGGCCCTCCTGCCCCGGCCTGCAGTCACCTAACTCCCAGCCTGGCTCCATGGCTCAGCTCAGTGGGCACCTCCAGGACTCTGTGACGCTCTACGGGGCCCACCGCGATCCGTGCAGCGTGGGAAGACGTAGACGACCACATAAAACTAACCAAAGTCCTTTCGCTGTGGAAGGACCCTTGATGTTCTTACATTTCCTACTGGGGGGAACAGTGTGTACTGACTGCCAACTCCATGATCAGCTGGTGAACCTCTGCCAAGCCTGTGTTCAATTCTGACCTCTCTTCCGGGCACTATAATCCTAACGCATCATCCCATCAGCCCCTGGACAGCCCCTCCTCATCTGTCTCCCCTCCTGCTCCTGCACCGCGTCCCACGTCTTGGTCCGGCCAGGGGCCTCGGTGACCCGGCTCCCCTGTAACCTGTTTCCCACGCCCTGTGCTCAGGTCCAGGCAAACAGCTCCCTACTGGGTCCCCTACTGTCCTTAATCTCACTTGCTTGAATTCAATCTGCTTTAACTTAAATATCCTTCTTTGCCTTTTAGTCTCCAATTTCAACCCAACCTCAGACGCCGTCTATGTGCTCACTATGGAACAAGCATCTTCGCACTGTAATACCAGACGTTACATTGAATTACCTTGTTGAATTTATGTAACAACCTTGAGGGCGATGCCTTCATTTCTTCACTTTCACATGAGCAAACTGAGGCTCACAGAAGCGAAGTAACTGGCCCGAAGTCGGACAGTTAGAAAGTGAGCACAGTGGGATTTCAACCGGTCCAAGACTGCAGCTCCTCGTGGAGGCTAAGTGGCTGCATCTGCCCGTGGCCGGGCGTGGCCGGGTGTGGCCGGCAGATACCTGTGGGGCACTGCTGTCTGCTAGGCACTGTCCCTGCTGTTGGGAACAAAGATGAACATGGCAGACACGGTCCCTGCCCTCCCAGCTCACATGCTGGCAGAGAGGGAGGGCGCCTGGTGCCTGGACATGAGCAAAGGGCCACATGGGCTCACACAGGTGGTGAGCATCCTGAGCCAGTGGGTGAGGAATGAGGGGGGCAATGGCCTCCGCCTCTGAATGTACAGCATCCTCTATGCACTTCACACCAGTCGGCACTGTATGTCTCGTTCACAGCGACTGCAAGCTCTAATCGTCTTTCCTTTCCTGGATACTTTGAATGATCGGGATCTTACTCATCTAGTACACTAATTCAGTCAATAACTATTTATTGCATAGGATCTTAGTGTGGGTTCTCCCGAAGCTGACCCTGAGGACAGGGGAAGTGAGCCAGGGAAGGAAACAGAATAGGGCGTGTCAGTAAGCAGGCGGCAGCTCTGGCAGGGAGGGTCGAGGCTGCGGGAGACCTGTCCGTCGGACTGTGCACAGGCTTCAGGCTGTCTTGTTGTAAGAATCACTCCTGCCTGCTTTGGTTAGGAGGCTGCCAAGGAATGCCCCGGGCAGAGATAATGAAATAGGAGAACTTGGATGCAGGCAAGGCCTTGCTACCAACATTTCCGCTGTGCTAGAGGCCAGGGTCCCCTCTGGTTGATGCCCAAATGGAGGAGAGACATCAACCGTCACAACAGCATTGCGGGCACGACCCAGGGCAAATGTGGGATTTATGAATGAACTAGAGGCCTGGTGCACAAATTCGTGCACGGGTGGGGTCCTGCCGGCTGCCCTGATGGGGGCTGATTGGGGCTGGGCCGACGGGGGGGAAGGGACACGGGAGGTTGGCTGATCAGGGCCTCGATTGGGCCAGCTGGCCACCGCAGTATGTGTCCTAGCGACCGGTCATTCCATCATTCTGGTCGCTTGGCTTTTATATATATAGATGAGAGTGGCAGTTGGAAAATGGATGATGAAGTCAAGTCTGTGTGTTCCCATGTTCCCCGGAACACGGATCTATGGGAAAACGGGAGTATCGCATGAGGAAGAACTGAAGCACAGACGCTCTCAGAACAGCTGCACAGGCAGTTCTGACCGTCCCTGCACGCTGTGCCCCCCTTGCCAAGAACACGACTGCTCTGCTGTGACACATGCTGTTTCCTTGCCACCAGCTCAGTGGGGATTGTGCAGACAGTCAAGCATCCTCTCAGCTAATATGTAAGTCACACGTTGCCGGCCACACCCACACTCCTGAGTTCAAATGAATGAGATCCAGAGGAAAACTAACATAATAAAAGGTAATAATCCATCACCCAGAAAGGAAACCTTACAAGATGTTTTGTTCACTAACTGAATCACGCCCTTTCATAAAAGGAGCACACCTATTATAGATGATACTATCTCAATATGAATATCTGAGATACAATCTTAAAATACTATAAAAAGGAATACTCAAACTTTTAATATTTTAAACTCTAAGTTTAGTGTCAAACAAATTTTTAAGGTACATTTTAACTCCTGTTGATTTTTGAAAAATATTTAAATGAACATTTTATTTTAAACAACTTTAGATTTAGAGAAAAGCTGTGATAATGAATCGGTTCCTGGTACACCCCAACCCCCCAACACCAGGTTCCCCCTGAAGTGAACCTCTGATATTACTGTGGCACATTTATCACAACTAACGGACAACACTGACACGTTATCATTCAAGTTCACACTTTGTTGGATTTCCTAATTTCCCTAATGCCCTTTATCGGATCCAGGATCCCAAACAGGAGGGCACATTTAGTCACCAGCTCCTTGTTCCCCCAGATGGTCACAGCTGCCAGACCTTGTTTTTGAGGACCCTGACTGTTTAGAGGGGTATTGGGCATGTAGTCTGTAGCTTGGCTCTCATGATCTCAACCTTGGGGCTGTGTGCTGGGAGGAAGACTGCAGGTAGAACACCCCCTCATCCCACTACATCGAGGGTGCACCTGCTGTCAGCATGACTGGCTCACCTGGCTCAGGTAGAAGCTGTCTCCACTGTACTCTCCCCCTCCTTCCACACTGCAGGAGCTTCTGTCTGTCTGCCTCAATGTGGACGCATGACGTTTACTCCATACTCTGAGCTATAACCCAGTCCTACGTGAGGACTGGTCGGAGGTGGTGCGCACGCCGGCAGGGCGCTCCCCTCCGCTGACGGGTGTGGGTGTAAGCGTGGAGCACAGTCCGAGTTCCTCCAAGTCTGCCCTGACTTTGACTTCTCCCACGTCCTCCCGGAACTCCCCGGCTTGTACCTGCAGCCTCCACGTCAGCAGGGACCTGCCGGGGGCTGGGCCTCTGGGTCCTCTGTACGTGTGTGTCCACGGGAAGGGAGAGTGGTGTGGGAGTGGGGCTCCCCGGGTTCTGT